CCAATCGTGGGGGCAAGAGAAATGACCTTGCTCCAAGGGTATCCATTGGGATGTACGTTGGAACTGGAAACAGAAATTCAGACGTCTTTGTCATGACGGAACGTGGAATCATGAAGGGGAACTCGATCCATCGACGCCCACCTGACGATCAGTTCAAACATGATCAGTTTGACTCGCTACGTGGCCTTCCTTGGAGGTTGCAAGAACGAGAACATGGTGGACTGAGGATCGCCCTTCCCGATGTTGCAGCGCCTCGTGAAAGGCCTGCAGTGCAAGAAGTGATCCCAAGGAACCTCTATGTCACCAAGAATGACTTGGAAAAGCATGGGCACACACCTTTGTGTCCTGGATGTGAAGCAGCAATACTTGAGATGCCAAGCCGAGCTCACAATGCTGAGTGCAGACAAAGAATCCAGATCGAACTTGACAAGACTCCAGAAGGTCAAGAAAGGATCAAAAGAGCGAGAGAGAGAGAGTTGCACAAGGCAGGCGCCCAAGAGGCGCGGCTGCACCGCCTGAGGGTGGTGGGGCAGAAGGTGGTGAAGCTGCACCACCAGTTGTCCCAGGAGGGGAAGTTGAACAACCAGTCTTGCAAGACCGTGTTCCTTTGGATGCGGAAATGGATGCAAGTGAGGCTGTTGGTGAACCACTGGTCGACACCGATTTTCGTGGAGAACTCAGACAGAGAGAACAAGAAAGAGAAGGAAGCCCAAAGAGGCAGAAACAAGAACAATCCCGAGGAGAGAAAAGGAGTTCACAAGTCGACGTTGAAGATCTTTACAATGAATCTTCAGCTCAGGCTTCAGGGTCAGCCGGACCACCGGCACCGGATGCTTCATCTGGTGTTCCGGAAGGTGCTGCCGCTGCACCAACAAGTCCTGAGACAAACCAGGAGATGCTACATCTGTGTTCCTTGCTCAAAGATGTGATCGCAAAAGGGAAGGTTGCTGAGATCTTCTCTCCACCGCGTGTGGCTGCACAAGCCCAAGTGGTCGGGCTAGCACCTGGCTTCTCGATTGACTTGGAGACAAAGCGTGGTGATGGAACTCACTGGGACTTGAGTAAAGATGAACACATTCGTGATCTGTTTCAACTGCTTGACTATGAGAAACCAGAGTTCCTCGGCGGCTCACCTCCCTGTGGGCCATTCTCGAAGCTGCAAAACATTGTGGATGCGAAGGGCAATGTTTCACCTGAAGTTCGAGCGCAGAGACTAAAAGATGGTCGCAAACATCTGCGCACGGCAGTTTCAGCGTATGAGCATCAAATGAATGCTGGAAGGTACTTCTACCATGAGCACCCTAAAGGGGCCGCTTCGTGGGAAGAGAGAGCTGTGAAGAGACTGAGGGCAGATGAACGGGTGTATGAGGTCACTGGACCAATGTGCCGTTGGGGAATGAAGGCCGCCGATGACCAAGGTGAAGGGTCAGTGAAGAAAGAAACTACCTGGCTCACGAACTCTCCAATCCTGGCACAGACCCTACAAGGGTGCTGTTCAAACAAAGAAGGCAAAGTTTGGCACCGCCATGTACATCTTGTTGATGGACGAGCCCGAGCTGCCCAGAAATACCCACCAAAGCTTGCCCACGCAATTCTCAAGGCCATTAGGCGCCAACTGGAATGTGATGGAGAACTACACTCACTTTCACATGGCCCAGTACCCGATGCTGGACCTGTGATCAATGAAGAGGAGGAGTTTTGGAAGCAGCTGCCCGACAGCGATGACACCATCGTGGAGCCAGTGCTTGACGCACACTCCGGTGCTGTCTTGGATGTTGACAAGGTCAGAGCTGCTCGACAAGAAGAACTAGCATGGGTACACAAACAGGGTATCTATATCAAAGTTCCACTCACAGAAGCCCAACAGTCTGGAAAACCGGTCATCACCATGAAATGGATTGACAGAAACAAAGGGGATGCAACACACCCCAACTACAGGTCACGTCTGGTCTGTAGAGAGATCAAACGGGCCAGCAATGCTGACTTCATTCCGGACTATGCGTCCTTCAGTTCGATGCCGCCTTTGGAATCGCTGAAATTGCTTCTATCGCTTATGGTGACTTTGAGACGATCCAAGTCTGGCAATGCACTGAAAGTTCGTCTTCTTGACATATCACGCGCTCACTTCTATGGAGAGGCAGAGCGTGATATCTTCGTGCAGTTACCTGAAGGAGATCGACAAGAAGGGTTTTGTGGCAAGCTCGTTAAGAGCATGTATGGAACACGCGATGCATCAGCGATCTGGCAAAGATCATATACAGAACTTCTCATCCGAGCTGGTTTTGCCAAGAATCAAGCTTGGCCATCCTGCTTTTACCATGAAGGTTACGGTGGTATTCGAGTTCTTGTACACGGAGATGACTTCGTGGTGCTTGCTGATGATGCTGGACAGAAATACCTTGAGGACACCTTGAGGTCCAAATATGATCTGCGGGTCGATGGATCGATCGGTCCTGGAGAACGGCATCAGCAGTTCGCAGTGCTCAATCGAATCGTGACCTACAACGAGCAGGAAGGCTCTGTATCCTATGAGGCGGATCCCTGCCACGTTGACCAGATGGTACGAGATCTAGAAATGGAAAACTGTAAGCCAGTCAAGACACCATCTGAGAAAATGTCAGCCACGGAGGCCAACTTGAAGTTGACCACCCCGACCATCACACCGGACCGTGTAAGTTTCTTCCGGTCTCTGGTGATGAGAGCGTCGTATGTGGCACAGGACAGACCTGACATCGCGGAGGCAGTGAAATGCCTATCAAGAAGAATGCATGAGCCCAAAGAATCTGACTTTCAGGATCTGAAACGCTTGGTGAGATTTCTGAAAGGGAAACCACGTGTACTTTTGAAGTTTGGTCGCCAGAAGTTTGCTGACACGATCCACATGTACGTGGACTCCGACTTCGCTGGGTGTCTTCTTACAAGGCGCTCAACAAGTGGACTTGTGGCAACCTTTGGCCGCCACACGGTGAAGGCCTCGAGCACTCTTCAGAGCACGATCAGCTTGAGTTCCGGTGAAGCGGAATACTACTCGATCGTTCGAGGAGTTTCCATCGGAATGTCGCTACAGGAGATCTTGCGAGGATGGGGCCTACAACCAAAACTTAAAGTGCACACAGATTCATCCGCTGCGCTGGGAACATGTAACCGTCAGGGCTTAGGCCGCTCACGGCATGTTCAAACTCGCTTTCTGTGGGTGCAAGAAAAACTTGCACTACATGAATTCGAACTGGTGAAGATCCCGACAAAGCAGAACGTAGCTGATTTGTGCACCAAAGGTTTACCTGCGAATGAGATGGAAAGACACATGCAAAGCATGGGGTTCGAGTACTCTCATGGTAGAGCCGAAGCTGCAAAGGCTTTGGAATGAGTGTACATCAGCTTAGGAAAATCCCAGCCTCTGTACAGGAGGGGTGACGGGATATAGGGTTCTCACTAGTTGCTACGCCAACCTTTGGCTCAAGAACACCGCTGCTAAAATAGCGAGTTGCATATTCTCCGTTCAATGTATGTATATGTATGTATGTATATGTATGTATGTATATGTATGTATGTATATGTATGTATGTATATGTATGTATGTATATGTATGTATGTATGTATGTATGTTATGTAATGTATGTATGTTATGTAATGTAATGTAATGTAATGCAATGTAATGTAATGTAATGTAATGTATGTATGTATATATATATGTATGTATGCATGTATGTATATATATAAATTAAATGTATATACATGTATATATATATATGTAAATGTATTTGTACATATATGTACACATTTGTCTATGATATATAAATATATATACATATACATGTATTATGATCATATTATATGTAAATACATGTGCATATATATAATTATATATACATATGTAATATATATATATATATATACACAGTCTGCAGTATATGTACCGGAATGATCTCCAGCATTGCATGAGAGATTTCTGTGAGGTTTCTGGCCATTATCCTCCAAGCCATTCGCCGGTTTAGCAACAGCCTTGATAAGTCATGATTACCTCCTGAATCTTCCATTTTCAAGGCTGATGCCATTGGTTTGTAGTTCAGGAGCACGCGCAGCGGGCTGCTATGTCCAGAGATTGAACGTCATAGTTTGTTTCTGCAAGATATTTGACACAATCTCCTGGGAACCCAAGAGAGAGGCTAATTATTTGACCTTGGAACCCGGTGCTGCTTTTAGAGCGTGCTCTCTCCCGAAGCTGCGCCTGACCTTTGGCGAGGTGTACGTTGTTCGGGATTGCCAAGACAGAAAGCATCAACTGATTTGACATTCTTGCCTTTTTCTCTGCAAGATACTGTGACAAGATAATTTATCGCTGCATTGCGCCCGCAAGTGCTGCCGCTGATATCTTGACCCTTGAATTTCGGCTTGACGGGTAACGTGCAGCAGCACTACCGTTTGGCATTTGGGAACATGAGTTTAGCACTTATCATTTTGTGTGTTTGTCCAAACATTTGTTTTGAGTGCGGCTCATGACAGAGCACCCTTCTCCATGGCCTCACATTCCGGTGATCCAGGAGCCCAGGAGCCCAGGAGCCCAGGAGCCCAGGAGCCCTTGGGAGGGTTGTCAGATTCGAGCCCTTTTGATACTTTGGTGTACTATCAAATTAGCACAGCACTTTGATAAAATGAAATTTGAGACGAGAGGGTGCAGTTCTCAGATTGCATCATTTGAGAGAAGTGGATTTTTTTGTGATCACACATTGATTGTGTCCGCATTGTGGTAACATTTTGCTGAAACCAATGTAAAAACATCAAAAACATAGAGGTTGAACACGGGATCGTTGAGGTTGACGCAAAAGTCTCACCAAAGGACTGATGTTCTTTCACCATTTTGTTGCGCTTTGTTGCACATAGGCCACATATAGGTACTTTTCTATCTTTTCTCCAACACGCCAAATGTTTAGAGTTGTTTCCAGAAGACAGCCAGGACTGAGAGGAGACTTTCGATGAAAGGCTATCTTGTATGTATGTATGTATTTATGTGTGTATGTATGTATGTATGTATGTATGTATGTATGTATGTATGTATGTATGTATGTATGTATGTATGTATGTATATGTATGTATGTATGTATGTATGTATGTATGTATGTATGTATGTATGTATGTATGTATGTATGTATGTATGTAATGTATGTAATGTATGTATGTATGTAATGTATGTATGTATGTATGTATTAATGTATGTATGTATGTATGTATGTATGTATGTATGTATGTAATGTATGTAATGTATGTAATGTATGTAATGTATGTAATGTATGTAATGTATGTAATGTATGTAATGTATGTAATGTATGTAATGTATGTAATCTATGTAATGTATGTAATGTATGTAATGTATGTAATGTATGTAATGTATGTAATGTATGTAATGTATGTAATGTATGTAATGTAGGTAATGTATGTAATGTATGTAATGTATGTAATGTATGTAATGTATGTAATGTATGTAATGTATGTAATGTATGTAATGTATGTAATGTATGTAATGTATGTAATGTATGTAATGTATGTAATGTATGTAATGTATGTAATGTATGTAATGTATGTAATGTATGTAATGTATGTAATTTATGTAATGTATGTAATGTATGTAATGTATGTAATGTATGTAATGTATGTAATGTATGTAATGTATGTAATATATGTAATGTATGTAATGTATGTAATGTATGTAATGTATGTAATGTATGTAATGTATGTAATGTATGTAATGTATGTAATGTATGTAATGTATGTAATGTATGTAATGTATGTAATATGTATGTATGTATGTATGTTATGTAATGTATGTATGTTATGTAATGTATGTATGTTATGTAATGTAATGTAATGTAATGCAATGTAATGTAATGTAATGTAATGTATGTATGTATATATATATATGTATGTATGCATGTATGTATATATATATATAAATTAAATGTATATACATGTATATATATATATGTAAATGTATTTGTACATATATGTACACATTTGTCTATGATATATAAATATATATACATATACATGTATTATGATCATATTATATGTAAATACATGTGCATATATATATATAATTATATATACATATGTAATATATATATATACACAGTCTGCAGTATATGTACCGGAATGATCTCCAGCATTGCATGAGAGATTTCTGTGAGGTTTCTGGCCATTATCCTCCAAGCCATTCGCCGGTTTAGCAACAGCCTTGATAAGTCATGATTACCTCCTGAATCTTCCATTTTCAAGGCTGATGCCATTGGTTTGTAGTTCAGGAGCACGCGCAGCGGGCTGCTATGTCCAGAGATTGAACGTCATAGTTTGTTTCTGCAAGATATTTGACACAATCTCCTGGGAACCCAAGAGAGAGGCTAATTATTTGACCTTGGAACCCGGTGCTGCTTTTAGAGCGTGCTCTCTCCCGAAGCTGCGCCTGACCTTTGGCGAGGTGTACGTTGTTCGGGATTGCCAAGACAGAAAGCATCAACTGATTTGACATTCTTGCCTTTTTCTCTGCAAGATACTGTGACAAGATAATTTATCGCTGCATTGCGCCCGCAAGTGCTGCCGCTGATATCTTGACCCTTGAATTTCGGCTTGACGGGTAACGTGCAGCAGCACTACCGTTTGGCATTTGGGAACATGAGTTTAGCACTTATCATTTTGTGTGTTTGTCCAAACATTTGTTTTGAGTGCGGCTCATGACAGAGCACCCTTCTCCATGGCCTCACATTCCGGTGATCCAGGAGCCCAGGAGCCCAGGAGCCCAGGAGCCCAGGAGCCCTTGGGAGGGTTGTCAGATTCGAGCCCTTTTGATACTTTGGTGTACTATCAAATTAGCACAGCACTTTGATAAAATGAAATTTGAGACGAGAGGGTGCAGTTCTCAGATTGCATCATTTGAGAGAAGTGGATTTTTTTGTGATCACACATTGATTGTGTCCGCATTGTGGTAACATTTTGCTGAAACCAATGTAAAAACATCAAAAACATAGAGGTTGAACACGGGATCGTTGAGGTTGACGCAAAAGTCTCACCAAAGGACTGATGTTCTTTCACCATTTTGTTGCGCTTTGTTGCACATAGGCCACATATAGGTACTTTTCTATCTTTTCTCCAACACGCCAAATGTTTAGAGTTGTTTCCAGAAGACAGCCAGGACTGAGAGGAGACTTTCGATGAGAGGCTATCTTGTAGGCAAGCTCGCTGTCCTGTTCTTGTAGCTCTTTCGTCGGCGCGAAAGAAGACCGAAGCAAACTTGGAACTGTACTGTTGCGGCCAGTGAATGGAGCGACAAACTGATCACAGTGAATTGAGAGCCACACGGAAAAGGCTTTAGCCTGTTTTGACTTGGCACTTGATTTCTTGATTCCACCTCATAGCGGAAACAACATTAGCATGCATGAGCAAGGATCCCTTTACATGGAACGAGCCTGCCTCCGAAGACTGTTTATGTGGCATTCCTCTGGCCAGGCTTATAGATTGCAGCATGAATCTCACCGCATCGGGAAGATGACACCGACCAACTGCAAAAGGCCAGGATCTGAAAAGAATAGACCGTGCAAAAACATAGAGGCGTTTCCTCTGACATGCAAACTGTACACTGTATGCCCACAAGAATCGTCTCCAAACATATTGTGCATCTTTGATCACTTTGCAAGTGGTCAATTTGTGTCAGATTTCCAGTGGGCGGGTATGAAGTCAACATCACCTTCTTCTTAACACGGTTTGACTGAGTATAGTATCATGCACTTCATGCACTTTTGGTGCCCTCCACGCAATCCATGACTGATGTGTGAAGGCTCAAGTACTTCACAATAGTGATACTCTGAAGTCTGCAGATTCTTTGCACAAGACAGACATTGACATGGGACTGGCAAAACGATGTAAGCTGCGTGCCCAACTATTGTCTTCCTTACGGCAGCAGTCCAGGTGAAAGGCCCTTTCCTCCATCGGAGCTCAAAGCCATCCATCGGAATCAATCTACGATGATTATCCCAGTGAGTACCTGGTTAGTAACCCTGGTGAATAAGTCAAATTCCCTTTTTGGGGGTGATCCCAGGGTTATTCCCCACATCTTCGTGTGGGGTTCTTGTTTTTGATTCTGTATCCCGCTTTTCCTCCGCCTCCACGTCCTCCCGCTCCAACGCCTCACACAACTTTGTCACACACACTGTCTTTCACATTGTTGGGGAAGGACACCTGTGGATGCTTCGATTGGCCAGATCTCGCCAGATCACAAGAGATTTCAATGCACCGGCCAAAACGGGACCTGAACAACCCATGATTAACCCTTCATCAGGATGTGCATTTTCCTGGATGATTGTCAAAGATGTCAAAAGCCACGCTGTGGCTGCGGGAAAACGCTAGGAAAACATATTTCAGAGCTGTCCAATGTCTGGTGTTTTTGCCATGATGATCCCGCTCTTGTGACCACACTTGTGCACATTCAGAAGGGGTGAAACATCAAAATCTGCACCAATGCTGTACAAGTCCTTTTCATCTCACAAGGCAAACACCGACAAGTGGATTGAGATCACCCCTACAGCCACTACTGGGTAGAGAAGGCTTGGGATTCGGGCAGAGCATGTGGATTTCTGTTGAACATGGAGAATCTTGTGAGATGTTTGTTCAATGATCTTGGATTTCCAACCATGATCTCAGATGACCTCAGGATTTTTTACCCATCCAGGAGCGCTCCGGGTGACTCGGTTTCACCAGAGTTTCTGCCATGGCCCAAGTCCAGCCCCACCCGGACGTTGTGGAAGAAGTCAAGGCCACCTTGCAGGCAGCGGCGGTGCTCCTCCCCAGAGTGGAAGCTGCGGAAGGCGAAGGACCCCTGGATTTTTCGGATTCAAAGGGATGAATGATTCTTCATATCTGAAACATCCTGAAACTACTGAAACGTCGTTTGCACTTTCCCAACTGGTTGCCTTGACAGGGTCGAGAATTTTCTCGCAGGAGGAGTTGTGGTGGAGAACACCTTTGTGACCGTCAAGGACGTGGTGAATTCTCCAAGCCGCAAAACGGAGGGAGGAGAGGTCGGAGAGGGAGAAGAACAAGTAGCAGTGCTGGAGAAGCAACAGAAAAAGCTTGCCCTCGATGGCAAGATGTACACCATGATCCAGTTCATCAGATACTATGGCACACGTTGCTTGGAGGAATTACAAAGTTGGACACTTTTTGTGGCTCTGATTACCAACGTTGCTTGATACCATGTAGTGTCCTTATTCCTACCCGCGTTTTACATGTTTTTACACCCCTTTCCAAGGGCAAATGTATCTGGATGCCGCCTAAAAGATGCTGCATGCTACATGCTGAGTATTTGGGAGTGAAGATACATGAAGAAGCAAAATGTCCTTTTCAATCAAAATCCAATAGGAGGTTTTGCAAAGGAACTGAAATGGTCACTTGGGCAACAGTTTGTGTACTCATGAAATAATGTAGGGGCCCCAAATTTGATGACGATGTTTTATCCACGCCCAGGCTATCCGCGCCACCGGGCCCTGTGCCGCGCAGCGGCGGCCTGGGAAGCAGCGAACCGTGTTTGCACCTACTGCGGCACGTGGAAACGAATCTATGGCAATTGGTTTCGTGGCGAATATTTCAACTTTCCATTGCTCCTTGCGGCCATGAACGGTGAGCTTTTCGCCACCGCCCGCTTATGGCAGCGCGGCCAGACCGTGGACTTGGAGCAGCTGCCTCCGCAGCAGCGGTGGCTCCTCTTCGATCAGCTGCCGGTGGAGTGTGAGCATTTTGACCGGGCTTGCGAGCGTTGCCACGGCCGGCTATGCACACACCACCTGCATGCGCTTTGTACGCGTGGCACGTGCAGTTTGTGCCACTGTACCCAGGCTGTGTGGGTCACCCAGTGGGTTGCTGGCCCCTACGGCATGATGCAACAGCAAGTGGCTGTGAACCTTCCAGCATAGAAGCACGCGGTAACATTGACTCGGCAACACCTCGGAGGAGTTGATAACGGATGATATCGGATGACAACGGATCAGAATCATAATGGACAATAATGATTCTCTTGATGAAATTCAATCAATTGGTTGAGTGTTGAGTCTTGGGGTCTGACATGGAATTTAGACAAGCCCAGAAAGTCCGGGTTACTTCTTTGCATCTCAGTGAAGCAGAAGTGTTGCCGAGAAGCGGGTGGAAAAGAAGATGGAAAGTGGCGCACCATAATTTGCGAAAAAGTTTTTGCAGATCTGTGCAGTGCACGTGTTGACTGATTTTGCAGGGACCCACAAGTTGGTCCCAAGGTAGCATTGGCCTTCTGACTAGTGGTGGTGCGCCACGAAGAACTTTGTGCCACGCGTGGTTGCGGTCATTTTCTGAAGATATGTGTAACCCAAGTTGAATCTTGATCTCAGGAAAGCCACTGATTCAATGAGACCGCTGCAGCGCGCGCATGTGGACAATTTTCATGATTCTTGACCAGCTGAAAGGCCGATACCCTCGATCTTGAGGATGAGCGCTGGCAAGACTCTGTTTGTGGAAGGAAGATGTGTTGCACTGTGAAGCAGAGCTTTAGCGTTACAAAAAAGTGGAGCATGAGCATGTCAACCCCATAGTTCTAAATCCTGATGGCCTTGCGATCTGCTATGACCACATCGGGAAATAGACTTTCTCACCTTCGGGTTGACATATCATCAGTTCCATTCAATTCCCATACCTGCATCAGTTCGCAAACATGACTTGACCGTCCAAAGTAGAGGTGGACAGCTGCCCTGGCTTGAGGTGAATTTCTTTCGCAATTCCACGTTTTCCAATTGAATCCATGGAAAGGAACATTTTGTGCTTTTGGAGCATCAATCATTTGTTTTCGACACGTCTCACATGTCCTTCTGACCGATCCAGTTTTTTCAATGCCCCTGATCACTCACTCGTGCCTCCGGCAGGCTGTTTTGACTGGCCACCAACCCTGCCTTCGGCTGAGGCTGCTCACGGTTGTGACATTGTTTTGATCGATGGTCGTTTGCTTCAGCATCTGGGGTGTGGGTGTTTTCGCATAGTACCCAAATGTACCCAGGCCAACGTCCCAAAATGATTGAGCGGCGTCGTTATGGGATGTTTACCTGCCACCTGCCAATCCGCCCAGTTTTTTTTTTCTTGTGTTAGAGGTAGGGGCAAGCAAACCGTGGCATTGCCACAGTGATACACTGAAACTGCAGTCTTTTTCCTTCATCAGATCCGGTTTCTGGGACAGAGAGATCCCAAACATGCCCCGGGTGGGCTAGCCGGACTGCAGAAATAGGACTAAGAGAGCCATTGGCGATTGGCAGAGCAACAAGTTTCCGCACCATCTGCCAAAGTTTCATCCTAGCTTATGTAATTTTGTAGGATTATTTTTGAATATTTTTGATGCAATGCGACATCGAAGCCCAGTAGTCCGCACTGACATAGTTGCTCGAAATGTTGGCTTTGCTTTCATTCAGGTCCTCTTTGCGGACTTCTGTTGGTTTGAAGAAGCTGCAGGGGTCTCATTCTCGCCACTGAAAGGAAGTAAATTGCCAGATTTGCCTGGTATCTTCTGGTTGATGGTTTCAACTCTTAATTTGGAAGGAGGAACAAAAAAGACAATCAACCAGCACTCTTGGGGTGCGTTGAAACCGACATGCTGCTTGATCCTGCCACATCCGCTCAGGCGCAGGCTTCCCCACCAAGATGTCAGCCCAGTCCAAGTGCAGCAAGTTGAGAACGCAGAGGCTAGGAGTCAAGACTGGGCAAACTGGGATGATCACACGGGGTCAAACCACCAAGACTAATTCATCTATATAATTCTAATTTGCAAAAGAAAACCTCAGGACACTACGAACCTTAAAAACTGCACAAAAACAAACAGAGGTCTCAGTTTTCAATGCAAACGCGCACTTTGCAATCTTCTCTACTTGATCCACTATCGCAGCGGCACGCCAAACCAGCGAGCGAATGGGTTTGCAGCTACGGGGCCGTGTGGTTTGATTACACCTCAATGATTGGATGACCATCCCACTTAGTAGGTGACAAGGAAAGAAAGTAACCATGGCCCGGCCATGACCAAATCACAAGTACCACGGTTCCCCTCACCCAAATTCAGCATTTTGCCACAAACCGAGGATGAACCATGCTCGAGCTGCCAGATGTGAAGCCAGGGTTATAACAAGTTCATCTCCGTTATGGGCCAAACTGGTGGTCGAAAGGAATCCTTGTCTCTGGTGAACCATCACATGATAAGATTACATGATATTACTTGATTGTGGTGCATTTTACTCCATGTATCTCCATGTATTCAAAGCAGAGAGGTTTCTTCGACCCTTGGTTGACCTGGTTCGTTGTGAGAGGCAAGATTTAGAAACTTCGCAAAATGTGAGGGGCAGGTCTTGGGAAACCTGTTGAGATAGCCCAGGATGTGTCCAATACTGCAAGCGGATGGGCATGGTGGGTCATCTACTGGGAGCTGCTGGAAATCTATCTCCTTCCGTAGCTGTTAGCTTTCAGCTTGAGCCCGGCTTGATATCCACTCTTTGCTTAGTGCCCCGTTGAAGACCAGAGTTCTTGTGGGGTCCTCAGGCCACGGCTTACTTGGCGAGTTTGTTCCAAATTGTTTCAAGTCTCAGTGCCTCAACAGCTTTGGAGATTGAATCATGTCGCGTCATTTTTGTGCCTATTTGATTGCCGTGTTGCGTTGCATAGGTTCTGCCAAGAATCCAAAGTGTCCCCTTGATAATTGGGTGTCAACACATCGCCCAGGAAATGAGTGGCTGTCAAGCGGAAATGGCGAACGGTGCCAAACTCAAATACCAAGTACAGTCACCTCTAGAGCTCTTTCGAAATTCCAATCCAATATGCTTTTCTTTGTTTGCTTTCTTTCATACACTTCCCGTTAATGTGGGACACCCAATAATTAAAGGATATTAAAGGACCAAATAACCCCACATGTTGAGCCTTCCGATTGTTATGAACGGAAGCTATGCTTCGGAATGATGAAGGAAAATAATGATCGGATGGAGAAAACGGCAATCGGAAACAGGTTGGTTCGAAAGTTTTTAGAGAATGAAAGAGTTAGATAGACAGAGAAGGCAACGATGGACCGATTCGGACACGGTTCAGACACGGTTTAGACACGGTTTAGACACGGTTCGGACACGGCACAAGACACAAGACACGGCACAGACACGTTTTCTCGATCGATCTAAATCTGTGAGACACAACCGCAGCATCGTCTTCGAATGGTCAAGATGTTCCCAATATACATGGGCATCGCTGCCCTCCATTTGTGTCATCTCTCTCCTACGGGACCCGCTCACCACGTGGCGTCTCTTTTTTTCCGTGCAGTCACAGCATCTTCAGTTCGTGCCTGAGCGCGGTGAATAATTTGGGGACATGAGAAAACTCATTTGAGGGCACAGCATTCATCACGGATTCACGCTTTCCCTTTGCAAAACTCTATGCGCAGCCCGAGACAACACATTCGATTTGTGGTCGATTTACATAGCAGAGTAGGAGCACATTTCAATCTAAAACCTTAAACACAAACATCCAACGACCACGAGGACATCCCAACCAAAACATATCACTTGATCAAAACGCAATGTAATGACAGGAAGTCTACGGTGCGGACCTCGGCGATAACACACGTCCGTATAGAAGAGAAGTACCACACCTTTGTCGACGGGAAGCGTGCCATAGTGTGTCCTTGCGAACACATCCCACCCAGCATACATCGAGGCACCGGCAGTGAGCACGGCGCCTGAGCCCCGCCAGCTAGCGCCGGAGCACCACGGGCGTGGGGCCATGAGACCAGAGCAACCAAACGCAGGGGATGCAAGTGCAACCACTATCTATTTCGTTGAGGCCTGCTGTGAGCATCTATCAAACAGACAAACCAAAGGGTCCAGCGTTCATCATAAAGCGGGTTCATGCTTTCCCTTTGATAAATTCTATGCGTTTACCGGAGGCACGCCCAATTTGTGGTTCGTTACTGAGCCGATACGTGACAGCATCACAACCTTAACTTCAAAAAGCATTGGAACCACCAAACATAAGTAGCATACGTTCGAGGCGAATCAAGCGATCTCAAGCCTTGGCTGACCCAAGGATCTTTCTTTCAGGGAGCGGGCCTTGCTAACCATAGAATATTATGTTTGCAAGGTCTGGCCCGCCTATACTCTACTCGACATCAGGCCACCAAACAATCAAGAAGGAGGTCAGCAACAGTGTGCTTTATGAAAAGGCAAACCCCTCCCGCTTTCTTGAAAATGCAGCACGCCGTCAAATATTCGCTCCGGGATGCTCACCAAACAGACTCGCATCGCCCTGCTAGCATGTGCCCGTGCAGCAGAGGTCCCCCACAAAATAGCTTAAAGAGTTGGGCTCTCAAGGTATATCACTTCACATCCTCGGCCGGCACTGTACCTTTCAATTGGACTCTGCGGTCTTGAGCGGCCTTCTCCTTGCACTTTCTGCACCTGGTGCCATATGCCTTGGCAGTATTTTTGTCGAGATATATACCAAATATCAGAATCATTGGTCTTTGGAATTTTGCATACTGCGCAAGCTGACCTGCCGACTTTGGTGCCCGTTGGATTTCTCATTGGGAAGAGAGCTGGCACCTTTCAGTTTCTTCAAGCTGACGGCTCTTTCTTCACCCTTCAATTTGCGCAAGTGCGACTCCAACCCATCCCTCCGATCCGCCATCTCCTTCATGCAGCTCGTGACAAAGGCCTGAAATCCTTCAGGAATGCCACAGTCTCAGCATGAACCTCATGGATGCCACCCGCCTTCTGCCGCTCGTCTCATGCGATGCACTAGTCTGCTTCCCCTCACCATCCAAGCCATCATCCACATGAACCTGGGGCACAGTCTCCGGCCCAGTCTCCCGCCCATCATCAGTCTGCGCCGTGGTGGCACCATGCCCTCCTGGTTGGACATATATAATGGCTATAATATGTCACCTTTATTCGTGACTGCAGATGATATATTCCAAATATATTTTGTAATCATGAGAAGTGGAAAGCACAAGACATTCAGGATTGGAAGCCCACAGCATGCGTCGAGTGGGTCGCCAAAACCATGCAGACGACGGGTTGCGCTTCCTTGTTTCCTTTTTACTTCAATGGGAGAACCGGTCGACAATCGTGGACATGCCAGGCCCAAGCTCCATTTGCTGCGAAAAGTTTTAGCAAGGCCTGCCGCAGGCAGTTCGGGACTATGATTCCAAACAAAATGAAGCATGCCTGTGAAAAATCCAAACGTGCACAAACAGCGACATGTCAAAACACATCAAGCTACAGAACGTCTCCGCAATGCGGCGCGAACATCCAATCGACATGTCCCGAACAGACTTGTCATGAATTTGATGCTTCTGAGAAGTTCATCGTAGGAATGAAACTCCACCTTTTGGATCCTGAATGAAATCGGAGAAAACTTGACGCTATACGGCTGAAACATGAAGAATGAAGCTAAGCATTCAGTTTCCTGCACTTTATCTGACGACTACTTGCAGACCATATCTTCAAGGTGTGCATTCAACAATCTTGACTGCGGCATTCCACGCAAGATTGCCCATCTTTGAATTTATCAAGTATTCTTCAATAAATTCTTGACCGTTTGACTTTATTCGCTTGCGCGCAGGCCTGAATGCAAACCAAGATTCAGAACAACCACCGAAATGCTTTGAGAACCAGATGCGATCACAGGAACCCACCCTCTCTGACCTTGAGGTTGCTCTTCCGGATTTCCCAAACCATGTCCTTGGATAGTAGCAGCTGCATCCACTCAGGTCGAATCGACAGGGCGCTGCTATGAAGAATCGGGCAGCTATCCATCTTTTCATGCAAAGGCAGTTTTTTCGATGAATTTGAGCTTAAAAGCTGTGGCAAGCCACCCCTGCATGTCGGACTGTCCAACAACGAATAGCAACGACAATAACGGTCATATTGAAACTGAACGAATCGGTATGCAGAATGTCATCAATGAATTCCACCAAACAAGACACACCGTTCCGGGCTCCACGCCGCTTCGCAGGTGCGCGGCAAACCTTGCGTCCCGAGCCGCGGCGTCCAGCGTCCAGAGCCACGGCGTCCGCCGTCCAGCGTCCAGAACTGCTGCGTCCAGCGTCCAGCGCCGCGGCGTCCAGCGTCCGGCGCCACGGTGTCCTGCGTGCAGCGCCGCAGCGTCCAGCGTCCAGAGCCGCGGCGTCCAGCGTCCAGCGCCGCGGCGTCCAGCGTCCAGAGCGCCACCAAGTGCTGCGCCTGCCACATGTTGATGAGACAAACTGATAGAGACAAGGTGATAGAGACAAGTTGATAGAGACAAGTTGATAGAGACAAGTTGTTAGAAACAAGTTGTTAGAGACAAGTTGACAAAGACAAGTCGATAGAGACAAGTTGATAGAGACAAGTTGATAGAGAGACGTTGATAGAGACAAGTTGATAGAAACAAGTTGTTAGAGACAAGTTGACAAAGAATTGTTGATACAGACAAGTTGATAGAGACACGTTGATAGAGAGACGTTGATAGAGACAAGTTGATAGAGACAAGTTGATAGAGACAAGTTGATACAGACAAGTTGATACAGACACGTTGATAGAGACGAGTTGATAGAGACAGACTGATACAGACAAGTTGACAGAGACAAGTTGATACAGACAAGTTGATAGAAACAGTTGTTAGATACAAGTTGACGAAGACAAGTTGAAATAGACAAGTTGGTAGAAACAAGTTGATAAAGACAAGTTGACAAAGACAAGTTGATAGAGACAAATTGATGGAGACAAGTTGACAGAGACAAATTGACAGAGACAAGTTGATACAGGCAAGTTGACAGAGACAAGTTGATAGAGACAAGTTGATAGAGACTAGAGACAAGTTGATAGAGACAAATTGATAGAGACCACGGCGGGACGGAGACGACGGCGGGAGGCGGACGGAGGTGGACGGCGGATGTCGAACAAAAAAAATTAACCCCACATAGTGATGTGGGGAATAATGCTATCATCTGGGGGGATAGTTTTTTTACCATCAATAAAGATGGTGATTTAGCAAACTGTTCCTCTTGTGATAAGGTGAACATAGGTGAACATGCTGAGACCGTCAACAACAATTTTTCTTCCAGGGACCCAACGCACACTGGACATGAATAATGTGGGGACTTGAGTGCTACAAAGATACCATCGTCTCTGTTTACCAAAGCTAATTGACACCTCAAGTCGAAGCAACTCACACAGTGAAAAGAGAAAACTGTCTTCTATACTGGAATACAGTTGATCTGTGAGAAAATGTCCAAAATGCACCAGAAATTACAACCCCATGAATGCTTGCAGGATGGACATGCAAATACTGTGCAGCGCCAACACACACCACAGAAGATGCGGATGCAAAAATCATCGGAATCCGAGCAGCCTTTGTCATGCCCAGGTTCTGATTTCAGACGTGAGAAAGAGTATGCCTGTCTTTGCTTACATGCAGTATACCAAAGGTGTCGAAAAAT